AGTCTAACAGAGTTTGGAGGAATCCTTGAAGCTGTTGCCCTAAGACAACCTTCTTGACTGAGAACTGAAATCACTTCTGGAAACCATGTCTCAACCAAACAATAGACTGGCCTGTAAAATGAACAACATTCAGAAGAATGAACTTCTTAGAACCATCAGCTATAAGATATAAGAGATCAGGAGAAAAATGAGAAGTTAAAGATAGCCCCACAGCAAAGATGAGATGTAGGGAGCAGCAGAGGAGTCACACAATTGAAAACAGGGTCCCTCAAGAGGAAAGAAAAACTCACGTCAATTTCAAGACTAGTGTGCTTGGTCCAAGCTGTGTTCTTTTCAATCGTTTCCTATGCACCTGAAAGCTGGACAATGAATAAGGATGACAGAAGAGAAATTGATGCCTTTAAGTGTGGTACCTATCTCACACACTGCCAAAAAACCAAACAAGTCTGTCTTGGAGGAAGTCTGATCAGGATGCTCAGCAGAGGCAAGGATGTAAAACTCCTTCCAGGGAGAAGCGTGTCAGGTAGGATCAGTTCTCGGAAAGAGACCTTGAGCTAGAACAGGAGAAGGGTCAGAGAAAGACAGGAAGACCCTAACAAGATGGAACAACACAGTGACTGTAACAAAAGGTTCCAGCGTAGCGGAGACAGTGAAGAGCACACAGGACAGGGCAAGGCTTGGACCTGTTGTTCATAGGGCTGCTACGAGTCAAACTGACTCAATGGCACCTGACAGCAACTGAGTAGAAATGGGGAGAGTGCTAACATGCTATAGGAATTGAAACCAATGTCATAAAACAATTTATGTATGAACTGTCAAAAAGAAAGCTAATTTGCTGTGTAAAATTATAAGTCAAGCACAATAAAATGTTCCCCAGTAAAAGCTGATGAGCCAAAATAGTTACTAGTTATTACTCAGGGCTCTAAAGTGATGCCTATCTGTCCATCCTGGCCTCCCCACCTCCTTCCATTTATTCATTCAACACTTACTGAGCATCTACCTTGTGTTAGACACTGTGCTATATAATGGCCATTAAAAAGTCTGGAAAAAGATTTTTTTTTTAAAAAAAGACTATTGCCCTTTTCCCTCGGTCTTGGGAGTGTCTCCTCTCTAATTTCCATTTCTTTCCTGGAGGTCTGGCTGGAAAGCCCAGCACATGGTGGTAAACCACTAAACTGCTGGAATAGCATAGGTATTCTTAGTCATCCATATGAGGAGAGGACCTCCTATTTAACTTCTAAATGTGTGCCCTGATTTGGCATATTTTAACCAAAGCAAAACATTATACTAGGAAGGTACCTAATACGCTTCCCAAGTGTAGAGTTTAATATCATCTAAAAATACAGGCATAGAGAAATAAGCCCTGAACAAAGCCAAAAGGGACTGAAAACGCAAACATACCGTGAATATGAACAAAAGTCTTACATTACTGGTAAATTCATTTAAGCCATATAATTCTATTGCCTTTTAGGGAAAAATCTTGAATTCTTAGGCTATATGTAGGTGTTTCAGAATAAATTCTGATCACTTTTTGGAGAACCCTCAGGCAGTAGAATGACTACTACTGAGAAGTATTTTGCTTTATGGCAGCTGTCTTTTCATTATTATTTTATGACTTAGTCTAGATATTATGCATCCTTTATTTTCTTCACTTAGTTCTTTTTTGTTGTTGTTACCTCTTAAAAGTTATTACACAATTTTCTTCTTTTTGTCCCCTACCCAACCTAGCTAATGTGCAAACTCAAAAGAGTCAGGTCTTTTTTGAAAATGTCTTCCTCCAGTGCCAGGGGTTGGATCTGAAATCACAAACTTCATCACTTTAATGCCCTCCAAAGTATTAACTGCCTTGGTTTACCTCCAAAGTATCTCCCGTGACCCAAGTATGCTGCTGGACATTTCTATTAAGACAAAAACATTAAAAGGTATTTTGGGGGGTTTATGACCGCCATCAACAGATTATTTCAAGTATAAGCGAGTTCTCATATGTCAAGGGTGTGAACTGAAATCCAATAAAAGCTAATATAAAAGAAGGAATTTGATGAGAGCAGGCATATTTAAACTTCAATTTTATTTGGAGGACTTGAATCTGGTTTGGACTTGTGTGCTCTGTGATGGAAAGAGAGTCTGTGCCAATGGTAACTTGAAAAACAGAATTCCAGAGTTGAATATTAAGCCCAGCTTCATGTTCCAAGCATTATGTACCAAGTTTTGGGTTGATTCTATATGGAAAATATGATTTGAACCTATCATTTGGCATGGAAAAGTCATTTGTTATAAAATATTTCAAACACATTTATTTTTATTAATGACAAATAGAAACTTCTATGGGGAAAACGCTACTTAAACCAAAAAGTGTCACTGCTATACAACTGATTTGGATTCATAGTGACCTTACTTAGTCACTGCCAGTGTGTTGAAATAGCCAACATCTTGGGCAGTTGAGTTTTTAATCAAATGCTTTACCAAGGATTCTTTAAATCAGCCTTCAGGTAAACCTTCTAAGGGCAAAGCCTTAATCTTTTAATATCTTGGGTCCGGAATCCATGATCTGCAGCCTTCAGTTAATGTTGAAGGGGTATTTACATTTTGCTTGTCTCAACTCAATAAAAGAATTTAAAAGAGAGAAAAAAAATCAAAGACAGGAGCCTGGAGGGAGCTGATGCTAAGAAGCATAAAGTGAGCTAAGAGCCAAGAGCCAAGTCATGTTGGAAAGACCCATGGAGAGTATCTAACTGTTCTTCATGGTGAGAAAGAAAAATATAAACTGGAGCTATCTTAGCAGAGCCAGATTAAGGCATGTGAGAGAACTAAGTACCGATAATGTACTCTGTGGTGCCCTCTCCTTCCTCACCCTTTGAAGGAGCTATGTGACAGATCCCATACATATACCCATACATAATCTCTATTTATCTACTTCTGTCTATAGATATATACAGAAATGGATCTCGGGTGGCATGGGAGATTATGTGCTGGAAGCTCAAATTCACAAGGCACCATGAGGGAGAAAGATGAGGCCGTCTGGTCCTATTAACACTTCCAGTTTTGGGAACATGATGGAGGGACAAGGAGAATTGGCTTGGCAGTCATGGGTCTGCTGTCATATACACGTGTGTCTGTGTTTATGTGTGCACACCCGTGCACCTGAGCTCTCTTTTCTAAATTAGCAAGAGAGACAAAATGATTCCTTGTCTACTGATCTTGAGAAACCAGAACCCAGATGTTGACTAACGGGCCTTTTCTGTGACTCAGTGGTAATTATCAATATAGTCATTGCTTCCTTATAAAAACGAGGTGGTACTCTCCTGGGTAAAAAATGGTAGGGTATTTTGAATACTTAGTTATGAAAAGTGTTTTTTAGAGAGAAAGGGCAGATATTCACAAACATACTGATGGCATTAATAACAGAGAGCCATTATTTCATTGAGGCAATTTCCTTATATAAAACTATATAAAATACAATAAATGAATAATAAAAAATATATAAATATCCTGGACAAATAGAAAGGTAATGTTCTGATATATGCCTTTTGTTACTTTCTTGGAAGATGAATTTAGAAACACTCATTGTTGCAAAACAGCAGCTTATTTTTTCCCATGATATAGAAATACTGAATTTTGCCTCTAAACGATGAAAAGTTAAACAACTGTTCATGTCTTTCATTTATAGGGTTGCTATGAGTCATCTACAACTCAATGGCACTTAACAACAACAACAACAATACCTCCCTAGGAAGTTCTGGTGGCCTAGTGGTAAGGAACTGTGCTACCAACTCAAAGGCATATGGTTTTAATCCATCAGTTGCTCATAGGAGAAAGACAGGCAATATATTCCCATGCAATTTACTGTCTCTAAAATATGTGGGAGGGCCAACCATGAGTCAGTTCCCAATTGATACCCAGAACAATACCACTTCACTTATTAGCAGTGCTAGAGTGGTATCAGTGTTCCAGAGCTTGACATTACTCTAACATTTCTGACATCTGGGCAGGCTGCACATCTTTCTCCCACTGTGCTGCTTTGAAGATTCAAATCATCAGAGATGTGAACTCTTTTGGTTAGAGGCACAACTCACTGCAGACACCACCACAGCTCCTACCTACCCGTTAGTATTATATGAAATGCATGCTACATTGCTTCCATGTGTGTGTCAAACACATTTTTAAAGATAAAATTATCAATAAAACTGTTTTTTAAAAAATTAGGACATAACTCAGTTTTAAATGCTATAGTTAAAATGTAGCTTGAGTGAATTCATGGCACTGGTGGACTTGTTCAAGCTCCCTCACTTTAACAGTCATCTGGGACTAGGGTTCCCATGGGTGCTTTAACAGGATGTGCACAAGAACACATCCTCATGTTTGTATCCTGGCCAAGTTCACTGCTGGTCCTCCCGGCTGGCGCTGTTGATCAGCAGATGTACATATATAAAGTGATTCTCTCAAACTGAATCAGAGACCATCGTCTATTGATATAATCCAACTTAGCCCAGGAACTGCTCACGTTGAATCCAGCAGCATTTGATTGACTATAGGAAGAGTCAGAAGAATCCCAGCCCACCCCTACCTCTTGTTTATTAGGAAGAAATACTATATCCCCAAGAGACCAACTGAGCTATGGAACTTTAATTATGCCGGAGAGGAACATAGGGATAAATGTCAAAAAAAGGTGTTGAAGTGGTAGGGCCTCATAGGGTAACCGAATTTGCTGATAGGTGGCCTTATGACCCCCAGGGATATTACTTCTGGCTGGCCCGTGCTCGTGTACTCGCGCTGGTAGTTATATTTAGTGGCCTGTCAGTCAGTGTCCGTGTCCCCCCCGCCCCTATGATGCTCCTTTTTCCTTGCATCCTATCTGCTTGACATCTACAGGTCTTTGCTCTTAGGAAAACGAGTCCTGCTTTGCTTTGGACGACTGACAGTTCTGTTCTCTTGATGACCTACGCACATGCTGACCTTGCTTGTTGGAGCGTCTATGCCTGCAGCTGACAGCTGTGACTCACCTTCGGCGCAGGTCCTCGGCCACTGCGGCCCGGCAGCTGAACAGATAGGCCCGGAGTGACTTGAGGCGCTGGCGCAGGCGCACCACGGCGGCCAGGGGCTCGGCGTGCAGGTACAGCATGGGGTTCTCCTGCTGGATGTCGATCAGGGGCTCCTCGTACACGTACTCCAGAAACTCTTTGGCCTGCTTGGACACCTGCAAAACAAGCTGCCTCAGTCAGGTCTGGGGAACTGCAGTGCTCTCCAGGTCTCTTCAAAACGGGAGCCATGGCCGTGTTACCAAAATAGTACTTTCTGAACACAGTGAAAAACCCATAGATGAATGAAACATAAGATTGATCTTCTCTTGTTTCCAGAAACTTATTTGGTAAAAGAAACCTTGGCATAAAAAGGAATTCACTCATTTTGCATCTTGATTGCAGTCCTTATAGTTAAACCTACATATGTGATACAATGATACAGAACTACACAGACACATTGTATTAATGCCAATTTCTTGGTTTTGAGCTAGTAGTTAAGTGAGCAAAAATAACACCAAAGAGAGAGACTGCCCTGAAAGGTAGGCTAGACCTTTCTACATTATCTTTGCAACTTCCTTTGAACTGAAAATTGTTTGAAAATCGTTATAAAGAGAAAACTCTGATGGTCTAGTTGGTAAGAGGTCTCACTGTCAACCCAAAGACACTTGTTCGAATGCACCAACAGTTCTTTGGAAGAAAGATGGGCAATCCCCTCCAATGCGGTTTAAATGCCTCTGGAAACCTGCTAGAGGTTCAGCTATGAGTTAGTTGTGACAACAACAGCAATGCCCTTTGTAGAACTAAGTTTATGTATTTATATATACACATAAACATCTATCTCTATATTCTAAATCCCCTTTTAAAATAGCCATTTTTTAAAAAGAAGTAGGCAAGGTATATATACAAAATAAAATTCAAGAGGAATATAAGAAGATTCTCAAAACCTTTATCCAGATCAATTCGATGACTACAGAGAGAACAGCCTCAAAATACTACTTCATTGATCAGCAAGAAGGTGCTTATATCAGCGTAACTGGGAGTATAGGTTGCGTCTGGCCAGTCATTCAACCTGTTCTATGTAAAGCTCTAAGTCATAAAGAGCAAAACCAGGAATGCTGATTATAAAAAGTCATTGTCATTTGTAGGGGTGAACAGTACACTATAACCATAATGCACCCAAGATGCAGAAGACATAGTTTCAAGAACGCCTGATGGACCAGGCGTTGACCCCTGGTTGAGCAGTGCATTAGCTGTCGTGCTGCTAACCCTGAAAGTCTGCAGTTTGAACCCACCAAGTACTTTGAGGGGGAAGGATGGGTAGTCTCTTCACGTAAAGATCTACAACTTCAGAAACTCAACAGAACTCATCATGAGGTGTAATCAGCTCGAGGGCAGTAGGTTTGGTTTTGATAACCAAAGGGGATTAAATCCAAGGGGATTTTTAAGTATCAATTCATTATGTTGTTGTTGTGTGCTGTCAAGTCGCTTGCGACTCATAGCAACCCTATGTACAACAGTTCTAAACTCTGCTCTGTCCTGTGCCAATCACACTGTCTCTGACACACTCATCCCAATTGCCCCAGTCACCGAATCAATCCACCTCCCAGAGGGCCTTCCCCTCCTGCGCTGTCCCTCCACCCTACCAAGCATGATGTCCCTCTCTAAGGACCGGTCTCTCCTTACAATATGACCAAAGTATGTCAGACGAAGCCTCAGAATCCTTGCCTCCAAGGATTAGCCTGGTTTAACCGTCTCCAGGATGAATCTGTTTGTTGTCTTAGCAGTCCCTGGTACCCTCGACACTCTTCTCCAACACCAAAGCTCAAAAGCATCAATTCTCCTTCTATCCTCCCTGGTCATTGTCCAGCTCTCTGATGCATAACAAGTGATTGCAAAGACCATGGCCTGTACCAGAGGCACCTTAGTCTCCAGAGACACACCGTGTTCTTCAGTACTTTAGAGAGGTCCCTAACAGCAGACTTTCCCATAGCAATATGTCTTTTAATTTTAATTCGTTGATGGAGAAACATATTGGTTGATGTAGACACAGAGAATTGGTTCCATTTCTGATAACATGACAGAAGGTAAAATCTCTCCAAAATTTCTACCCTTCACTATAGGGAGGCAATGAGACCGACTGTGTGCAACATGCAACAAAATAAAATGTGACTTATTAAAAGAAAAATTGAAATTCTACTCTGTTTTATGCTATGGGTCCATTAATGAAGATAAATAGGATATAATCCTTCCCCTCAAAGGGCCTACTGATAAGTATGACACACAAATATTTAAAACAAAAATGTCAATTTGCAAAACAAAAGCTGCAGTAGTCAACTGCCACAATATAAGGGCCACTGGTAGCTTAAAGGAGGGAGAGATCAACGCTTCTGTGGCTAGGGAAGGTCTCACAAAGCAGGTAATGCTGAATCTGGTTTTAGAAAGTTAACCTGACATCACTTGGTGGACAGCGATGGAGCAAGGAGGCCACAATGATGGCGGCCCCTCAACACAGTCACATAATGCGAAATGCATAGTGATATAGACGGAAAATGTCCTAGACGCATTTATGTAACTCAGTATTTCCATTTTCTTTTATGGGAAAGCTTATACAGAAGTTTTATGTTCCTTATAAGGAGTACAAACAAGTGAACACTTTTTTCCCCTTCATTTTTGTTTGTGTACCGTCAAATCAAATTTGACTGGTACTGGAGGAGATTGCCCCTCCTTCTCAAGCACAGCATCTGGTGGATTCGAACCACGTACCTCTGGGATTGCAATGCAGCTTCTTGCCACTACGCCATCAAAGCTCCCTCACACTTTTTTTTCTTTCTAATAAAAGTCTATCTTTTTTTGAAGTGCTTGTTGCTGGTGGCCACCAGCCACTGAGCAGTAGAAAAACACAGCAGTCTACCTCAGTAAAGACCGAGAGCCTTACATCAAAAACTTTTCCCAACAGGGTGAAAAGAAAACCTACTGACTGGGAAAAACATTTGGCAATACCTTCTCAAACAAGGGTCTCATAACAAAAGCTAATGGAATCCTACAGGGCCTCCACAAGAAAAAGACTGATAATTACCAATTGGGCAAAAGGCAAGGAAAAACTTTTCACAGAGGAAGATACCTGGATGGCCAACAGACACATGAAGAAATGCTCAAAATTACTGGCCATAAGAGAGATGCAAATCAAAACCACAATGAGATACCATCTCACCCCTGTAGCAGTGGCAAATTTAACAGGACGGCAAGCAATAAGTGTTGGAGAGGATGTGGCGAGGTGGGAACCCTCATACATGGTTGGTGGGATTATAAAATGGGACAACCACGCTGAAAGGCAGATTGGTGTTTCCTTCAAAAGCTGAACACAGAAATTCTATATGACCCAGCTATTCCACTGCGTGAGTATACCCTGAGGAAACTAGAACTGAGATATAAATGGAGATTTGTACACCAAAGTTCATAGAAGCATTATTCACAATCATAAGAACATGGAAACAGCCCAGATGCCCAAACACAATTGCAGGGAATGAGAAATTGTGAAACAGTCACATGATGGAATACTATGCAGCAATCAGGAGCAATGATTTCAAAACTTACTACATAACTTAGGAAAGACTGGAGAGCATTATACTGAGTGAACTAACTCCATCTCATAAGGACAAATACTACATAAGACCATTATTGTAGAAATAGAAAGATAACTAGTAAAACACGTATGAGGGTCCAAGGGGAGGGGAGGAAGCGAGCAGTGGAGTAAGGATGGACAGGGGTAAAGCATAAGGCTGCACAATTTGGTGGGTGAAGAACGGCAGTAAAGGAAGTGCAGCAGATCTGGCAGGGAACGGGAAAGACAGTCAAGGTGGGCATAGTTCAATGGTGATAAATTTTATAAAATAATGAATGGGAATGATTGTATGAAACACTGTGAATGAAGGATAATGTGAAACACAATGTATATGAGCTCTGTAAACAAACCAATATAAAAGAGAAATAAACAAAGAAAGAAGGCAAACACGTTGAGGCTCATTTAAAAAATAAATGGTTTCAGTCTTAGAAAACTTGCAGGGCAATTCTGCTCCGCCTTTACAATCACGAAGAACTGACTGAAAGGTGGGGGGTTGTATTCATGTGATCCTACAGTGTCCTGCAGCATTGCAGAGAGTGAGAAGTAGCTCTCCTTTATAATCTCTGCAAATCCAGCTCACAAAGATGTATCAGGAATTAGCCAAAGCCCCTGAACATTTGCCCAGGCCAGAAAGAAGTTATTCCAAGGTGACAGGACTAAATATTCCTCTCCCTTACATGTGAACCACATAGACACGGATCCATGAGACAGCAGGCATGGCCTGGTCCACATGAAGCTCACAGTTCATGAGGAAAGACAGAATTGGGTTTAAATATTGTATTTATCATGTTTAAATATTTGCTCTATTTAAATAAATGAGGGGGAAAAACAGATGGTGTCTTGGGAAATGAAGCACAATCCACTTGAAACTGTTGCTGAGAAATGATGTATTGTACAATTCAATTAGTCTTTCGGGCTCCACAGGGCAGTGTTTATACTGAGGCAGGGCCCGGCTGGGCGAGGTTAACAATGCTACCTTTTAGTAGGTGAACAGAAGGACAAAGGGCACTGGCCAGTCTCCCAGGCATAAAAAGGTTTCTCTTTTCAGGTGGCACTTAAGTCCAAAATCAAGGGGTGGGGAAGTCAAAAGAGACAGTAAAAGCAGAGAGAGGAGCAGGACAGCAGCACAGACATTGGTCTGCATAAACAGACAGTACTAAAACGGTAAGAGTTTGCTTCAGTGATGTCTAAGGCACCATCTACACAGAGTTATTAATGAGCTAAGCAGATATAGGGAGCTCTGGTGGCTTAGTCGTAGGAAGTTGTGCTGGCAACCTAAAGGCATGTGGTTTGAATTCGCCAGCTGTTCCAAGGGAGATAGATGGGCAATCTCCTCCCATACAATTAACTACCTCAGAAACCTGATGGAGGGGCAGCTGTGGGTCAGATCTGACTTGAAGGTACACAACAACAACAACAATAATGTAATGGTGAAGCACTTGGTGGCTAATAAGAAAAATCATCACTTTGAATCCACTAATCACTATGTAGTAGAAAGATGTGAGGTCTGCTTCTGTAAACAGCTACAACTTTAAAAACCCTACGGGCTGCTAC